GTCCCGCGCCAACCTTTCTCCCCCACCGCCACGTTCAGGACAGTATTGCGGGGGCACCCTGTGGAGGGCCCACCCCCCGCGTGTCGCTCGGTCACTGGTACAAGGAGGGGCGTAGTGGACGAGCAATTGGCCCTGCCCCCGTGGGAGAGGGAGTGAGCCCACCGCAGAAAGTTCCCTTCAGTTCTAAAACTGCGTCCCGAGGGGGTCTGCCTCTTTTCGCACACACGGATTCTCTGGTCTCCCACCAGTTCATCTAGGACAGAGGTGTCTCCTTCCTGAGCAGCGGACTCATTTGGGACCACACCCCTTCTCTGAATGCGCCCACCCAACCACAGACCAAACTCCCTGCTATCAAGTCGATAGGGACCCTACCAGGCAGACTAGGACGGGCCCGTGGGGTTTCTAAGATTACACAGCTCCTTTAGAGGAGCTCACCTCCGTCCCACGGAGCAGCGGGTGGGTTTGAACCGCTGACCTGGAGGTTAGCAGCGCGGTGCGCAGCCCTCTACCTCACCAGGGCCGCGGGGCGTGGGGAGAGGGGGTGTAAAGTCGATGTGAAAAATGAATAGACACAGATTTCTTTGGTGGTCCTTGCCATTCGGCCCACCCCCACCCCCCACCCCGCCATTTCTTGGTGTGAGATTCAGGTTGAGGGTGGGACTGACAGGTAGGTTCCAGTGTGCCAAGAGGTGGCTCCGGACCGGTAAGGTGTTTCAGAAGAGTCACCTGCTTAGGTTCTACTTCCATTAAACCACTGTTTCTCGTGGAAGAACCAGATCTAACCCACACAGCACACCGCACATGCACTACATTGCCTTGATACGATCTCTTTGTAGTTATTTGTTTACATATCTGCCCCATTAGACGGTGACGTCCAAGTTATAAGGACCGTGATTTTTTTTTCTTTTTGTATCTTTAGTGTTCGGCACAATAAGAGCCCTCATTAAATGTCTGCTGGAGGAATAATTTTGAGACACTTACCCGCTCGGAGAGCAGATTTAAGTGTTCGGAGCTGGCTGAGCGATTCCACAGAGCGACACTTCCAGTGCCGTCCGGATGCCCAACTCCAACCTCCACCTGCCTCCAGCTCCGCCTCTCCTTGCGGGGACTGATGGCTTGAGTCCCGCCTCCATTCTTCTCCGATTGGCTGTATGAGGAGAGCGGCCTTCCTATTGGTTTCTTCTCGAGGGCTGGGGGCTGGACTGCGTTTCA